AACAATCTAAGATAGAATAATCTCATCTTTCATTCATAATATAAGCGGCATTCTCCCCCTCCCAATCAATGAATAATCGATCCCATGGGGATTCAATTTGACATCTTTCATACGTTTTAATGTCATTGAGGAATGCTATGATAAATAATCTTGGATATGTTAAATATCCTTGGTGAATTCTCTCAATCTCTTTTATATAGGTAAACGAGATCGAGTAATGCTTTGATAAATAACCTTGTATAGGCCAAAAAATTGTTGTGGATTTTCCCAACCTTTTCAATATAAGTTAATGATATTGAACAATGCCCTAACAAATAACCTCAAAAAAGCATGCCCATAAGGTTGGCTCAAAGGAAAGCTAATAGTGAATAAGATCCTCATTAGGGTTAACTGGTAAACAAGGTTTTCACTCATAACCCAAAGAAGGTCTACCCATGAGGTAGCCTTGAAGGGAAGCTACTAGTGGATGAGATCATCACTAGAAAGACTCTATGAGTGTAAGTGGTTGATAAGATCACCACTCATTCAAAGACCTTAGAAGGTAAAGGCATAAAAAAATTCAAGATTATCCAAAAACTCAAAGGCATACACTTTAGAAGATATAGGTAAACCAAAAATCTTAGAAGGCTAAAAGCTTCAAAAGATACAAGTACATCAAAATCTTAGAAGGCTAAAAGCCTCAAAAGATATGTACACCAAAATATTAAAAGGCTAAAAGCCTTAAAAGGTATAGGTACATAAAAATCCTGGAAGGCTAAAAGCCTCAAAATGTATGATACATAAAAATATTAGAAGGCTAAAAGCCTTAGAAGGTATTAATTTTTTTTATTCTCTAAAAATTTTTGAAGGCTAAAAGCTGCGCAAGTAATAAAATTCTATAATCTAGTTGCTCTAACTGGGGGACAATATATCAAAGTATATCTCAAAAATGCATAAAAGAAATAGTTTCATTTAGTGGGCAAGTTCATAAATTAATATTATAAAATAATATATTCTTTACTTCAATTAAATATTAAGTTCATAAAAACATTTCAAAGCCATATACAATATCATTAAATTTACATGATACATCAAATTCAAGCATAAAATCTTCTTAACCTAAAAATTTTATATAAGGAGCTAAAATCAAAATTATTATGCTTTCAACATCATCTTATACAATGTAATGAATCTCAGTGGAAGAGCACATGCTTGTTTTGATATTTTTTCGGCAAAGATCATCATGCCATTTAGTACATAAAACTTCTTATAAATCATCGCGAATTCTTTTGAGGTAATAATAAAAGGGATGCAATCAATCAGAGCAAAAGGGGAAACTCTTTGTGCATTTATTAATCCACCACCCTAAGAAACACATAGTTATTATATCAAAGCATTTCTTTCAACTCATTTAAGGAATGATTGGAGCCCCATCAGGGTATCACTCGGTTAACATTATGAGTGCATAAATAGATTATTATGATCAACACAGAGTCCAACCCCCTCCATTGAATTATCTACTATTTGACCCCATCAGGATACATGCATGCCATCTGAAAGTTCGTTAGGGATGTTAAGCCCTTATGAACTAGTCCCAATGCTAACCAAGAGGGGGGGGGGGAATTGTTATTTTAAAAAATCTTTCGATCAAAACACAATCTTAAAATAAAAACCAAGACTCACCACAGAAATCAAAGTGTAAAAAATAAATGTGGAAGCAGTAATAAAGAACACATAAATTTATAGTGGTTCGGTCAACACGACCTACATCCACTCCCTGGAGGCGCCCTCTGAGTATTGCACTAAACTCAGTGTCTCTTCTTTTACCCCTACAGCAAGGCGGAGAAGCCTTTACAATCCTCCTTTCCACCAACCCAGGTGAGGCAGAGAACCTAACTCTTTTTTCTTCCTCCAAAAGCAGGAAAAGAACCCAACTCCTTTTGCTTCCTCCAAAAGCAGGCATATAACCTTGATCAGATGCTGAAGTTTACCTCTCTAGAACCCCCAAGGAACTAAGAACGATGATTGGAGAAGACGATGACGGATCCTTGCTTTGAGCAACCTTTGTGAACTCCCTTATAAACTCCCCCTCACATGATCCTCTATATCTCTCCCTTGCTCGCCCTCTTCTCTTGGCTCTCTCAAGTTAAAACAACAGCAAAAGATGAGCTCTTGGGTAAAACAAGAGCTCTTAAAAAAAAGAGTTTCGGAATAGCTCTTAGTTTATACAAACTAACTTTATCGTCTAGGATGATATACATATCATCCTAGACGATCAGCGTAAATTTTGCTCAATCAGCCGGACAGTTTGGGACGATTAGAAGGTTTTTGTTCATATCGTCCAGGCCAATAATATATTATCCTATATGATTAGTACAAATCGAAGAATATCGTCCTGACAATCGCACTGAATGGATGTTTGGACGATGGAAAAATAACTTGATCGTCCCGACCGACCGATCTCACGATCATCCTGGACGATTAGTTTAAATATGTGAAAATCATCCAGAGCATCTCCCTGAATAGAAGCTGGTCGATAACAATCGTCCAAGATATCGTCCCAGACGATCCTGCGATCATCCAGGATGATGTGATCGTGCAATCAAACTTTAATTGCTTTCCTTAATTACCATATTAATTTAGGTATAATTATGCTGCATCATCTAGGACGATGTCTAAAAATAAAGAATACCTAAATAGATCTGGCGGCTAATTTTTTTTATTTGAGCTTATCGTCCCGACCGATACGAATATCATCCAGGACGATGTGCTTAACGGCTGCCTTAACTAGGATGCCCTAATTAGGGTTTTTGTTTTTAACAGATCGTCCAGAACGATGTTTGGATCATCCCTAATGATATGATCAAAACAGAGAACTCTAACCAGTAGACAAAAATTTTCCCCCATGTATGTGTGTGCAAGATTACTTAGCATCAAGAACCACATTGTTTATAATATACTCAAGAAAGGGAAAAAATTACAAACTGACTCAGACCTAATCTACCCAATCTTGAGCTGGCTTGAGTTGCACTTAATCTTATGAACCTGAAATGTTAGTATGCAAGGCAGTCATAGAAAAAATATGAATGCTTGCTATCATCAAAATTATAATCCATAAAATTAGATTTGCAACACTATCTTTAATGAAGTATAGCCCAACCATCACCATATACTCTTATTATTTTATAAGAGTTGTCACGACCCAACCCGACCGGGACGGATCTAGCTCGCATCGGGTCGTGCCCAAACTCAAACTGATTGAACTGGTTCCAGGATCTGGCTTTAGAATTTGTTTCAGAACTTTCTTCCAAACATTTACACACAGAAACAGACACACAGAGCTACTATAAATATCAAAATACAGTGGAACAGATTATCTATCTTTTTCTTCCTCCAAAAATCATATATAAATACAGCTCATGGCTTTCAGGCAGAAAGAAAAATAGAACAGAAAAGCCATGACTGTACAAAAATTAAAAGTACAAAATACCTATAACAGATCAGACTCTGAACTCCTACTCCAAGACTTTCTTCCCTTTCCCAGAACCTGAAAACCACGCGGAAAACAAGGATAAGCTACAACAGCTCAGCAAGACATCAAACCTCCAATCAAAATCCTCAGAATCCACATCAAACACATCAGACAAAAATTCGTACAGAAATCATATCAACATAATCGTATAATAAAGATCACAGAAATCATAATTCCAGAAATTAAATTAGAACAGAATCATACAGATCAGAATAGAACAGAATCGTATCAGAATCATAAATCATATCAAAATCGTACGGAAATCAGAAATCATATCAATTCAGAGCATATCAAAAGTTAGAACAGATTCCCTGACTCTGATAGAATCTCAACGGATTCTGGCCCCTTATACCTCCCTTCCCAGACACTGACAAAATCTCTCGGATTCTTGCCCTTTATGCCTCCCCTTGTGCTCATGGCACCAGAACAGATGTGCTTATAGCACCAGAACATAACTTATCATCGGATCCGGAACAGAACTTATTTTCAGATTTTAGAGCTCATTTCAGATTTCCCTGACACAGACAGGATCTCACAGGATCCTGACCCCTTATAACTCCCTTTTTCATAACACACAATCATATCATGTCATTTCTGAACAAATCCGGACAATTTCAGAAATCGTACAAAAATCCAGCTGCATAACGACAGTATACAAAATTTACACAAAAATTCCTAAATTCACAAAATTATCAAATTAGCATAGAATATTCACAACAACATTGCAAGACTTTTATTCTACTGCCCAGACAATTTCAGACTTCATCAGAAGTTACAGTCAAAATAAAATACCGCCGAATCAAAACTATCCGGTCAAAATTATCCAGAAAATAATTAAAACGTGCGCACTCGGCACCTAGAAACATACCAAAAGTTACGCGGTAAAAACTGAACCAATCGAAAAATACGGACGAAATTCGCTAACGAAAATGAAATCAGGATAGAAAAATCGTTCAATCTTCACCGTTCTGAAAATTGAGAAAGGCGGAATGTGCCTTACCTTGTGTACACCAATTTCTTGAACTACTGCAACAGACGGGAGTCGCCCAAAAATCACTTTTCCTTTTTTTTCCTTCATTTTTCTCTCTCCTGGGCTTTTCTCTCTCTTCAAAATATCTTATTTCTATATATATCCAGACTGATCATCCCGGACGATCGTAACTTCGTCCCGGGACGATTTGGCTCTGGACGAATTTCGTCCAGACGAGATTAATTACCGTCCCTGGATGATTTGGATCTGTAAAATTTTCGTCCAGACGATCCGACTTTCGTCCAGACGAACCATGCAGCCAAACATGTTTTCCTACACAACCTGTACCGATCGTCCTGGACGATCCGACTTCGTCCGGACGAACCTCGGAGCAAAATGGCCTTTACAATCTCCCCAACTTCAGAAAAATATCATCCTCGACATTGCCAAATCAAAACTCAGTCAGAAAAGATACGGATATGCTTGCCTCATGTCTGACTCCTTCTCCCAAGTCGCTTCTCATACAGTTCGGTGCTTCCACTGCACCTTAACCATCGGAATCTGTTTACTTCTTAACTTACGAACATCGTAAGCCAAAATCAACTCAGGTTCTTCTTTGTACTGCAGATTCTCCTGAATCTCAACCTCATTAGCAGACATCTTCTTGTCAGAATCAGATATCCACTTTCTCAAAGAGGATATATCAAAAACATTGTGCACATCGGACCTCTGATCAGATAGTAACAGTCTGTAAGCAGACTTACCAATCCTTTCAAGAATTTCAAACGGTCCAATATATCTTGGACTAAGCTTTCTCACCCTTCCAAATCTGCTGACTCCTTTCATCGGACTGACTTTGACATACACAAAGTCACCGACTTAAAATTCCACAAATCTGTGCTTATGATTGTAATACTTCTGTTGTCGATCTTGTGCAGCTTTCAATCTTTCTTTAATCAAGTTGATTTTCTTAACAGTTTCATCCACAAATGTAGCACCCATTTCTTGTCTATCTCCTACCTCAGTCAGAGTCAAAGGAGT